TACTAATTTCAAGATGCAATTTAGTTATGTCCACTCTTGGTCATTCAAAATTTTCCTTCCGTCAAAATAATGTTTTCATTTAAAAATCGCGAATTTCCCTCATTTATTGAATTGTTTTTTTTTAACTTAAGCTTTTAAATAAGAGACTTATTTGAGCAACATAATTTTTTTATTATTTCGACGCACACAATCATTAGGGTCTCCTCTTACGAGTTTAATGTAGTCGCTACTGTCTTTCAGTAATATTATACTCTATTACTAATAAATGGCATGTACGTTAGTTAAGAATAGTGTTAAAAAAAAAGATAGGCATTAATGAAAGCAAATTTATGAGAAGTGAAAATTACCTTCGCATGGATGAGCAGTGGGTCCATCACGAGAAGGTCGATGCATGGTATTAAAATTTCTACAAAAACAAAAATATCAGTAATATTTAAATAAAAATATATTTTAAAATTGAATCTTACTGTAGGTATCCGAATAACGTTTCAAATCTACCGTTAAATCAAATTATCAGATAAACAAAATGGAAATTCAAATTTGACAATCATCGCTCGTTATTTCAGTCAATCAAATTTCATAAAATTACTATAGACTTCCAATCAGATGTATCCAAAACTTACGTGCCAAACGAAAATTGATCTTAACACAACTGCACAAAGGCTCACTTTGATTACAACTTGATGCAAAAATATTGCGCGTCAAACCTGTGCAGGTGATTGTTTGGAAATGGGTGCATTTGCTTCACACCGTTCCCTGTACATTATAATGTAGATAAGCTTAGGGTTGTATCTGCGTGTAAACTGCAGTAAGTCAGTGGATAAGGCACTTTGAAAAATGAAAGCATGATAAATTGTAGTATATCACTGTTAAGGCTACAGTACTATACTGTTTAATTAATAAAACATAATTCTGCATGATACTTAACCTCGCTGGTATGTCGATTCAGATTTAGTTTTATTTCCCAAAGTTCTCAGTGCGAAGGATGTAGAGAATTTAACTGCTTCATTGCCCGTTTAGTGCAACAAATATATGTAGGCATATGTTCATTTACATTACACTGGGCATTTTATCTTGTAAAATGTACGTATTAAGAATATACTATGCTTTGTTTAAGCACTGTGTAATTTGTACCTGATTATTGGTATCCTATTAATTTTACGTTATTCTACGCCTGTCGTGATATTCAGGAGGGCTACTCAAGGTTTAATAAAATGCTCTAAGCAATTTACGTAAACTTCAAACAGCAAATCTGTGTCAAATGTCAATAAGTAGGTATCTGTTGAAAGACATTTCTGCTCTTAATTTAAGACTAAGAAAGATGTTTAATATTACAAGAAAGAAGTCATGAAAATAAGTTATTGGAGAGTAGAATTTAGATTCTGCACAGAGTTGAACCTTACTCGTTGAAACTATAGTTGGAAATCTTATCACACAAAGCATAAATTCTAGACTAAACTTTATTTACAGCTCCTTACATCACTGTTTTAGATTAAAGTCATGCCACACTCCCGACCTTATAGGAAATTAATATTTTATTTTTAGCACCAATATCGAGCGCGTGTTCGTGTATCCAAGCAATAATATGTTGGAGCTATATTTCAAAACAGCGCAGCGTTGGTTACGCTTTTTTAAATTTTAGACGTGTATGGTGATTTATGTGTTTGGGTTTTTTAGATACAGTTTTATAAAAAAATTGGGCACGACAAAGATCTGGATTTAATAATTCTACCTATAGTTAAAATGCGGGTTGGTTGGTCGTAACTTGGCATTATATACTTAAAGCAACAATTAAATGAAGGCAGTTAAATAAATAACTGAATCCTAAATTATAAATGAACAAAGCAAATCATCAGGATGAGATATAAAATGGAAAAAAAAAACGGCAAAGAGCTAAGGAAATGAAAAAACGGAAGACCATTAACTAGTTTAAAGATTGGACCTATGTGTATACTCTCAAAGGATAACAAGTATGAAATGAAATTCCTTACAAAGGCAAGTAGTTGATACAATTAGCGATTTGAAAGGAATGGAGACTACGGAATAGGATGCACAATGTAGGACAACCACTACATTAACAAGGTGGATAGGGTAGGAGATCACTGCAAACCGATCTTCTTGAAACTTATTGTTCAGCGTAAAGCCAAAGTTCTCTTAGAAGACGTCCTATAACTGAAATGACGGTTTCGGCGTTTTGGTGTTTTCTATGTATAATACGAGTATGTGTGTATTTACACAAAAAATGGTATAAAAGTATTCTATCAGACTATCTAGCTTTCATAGGACAAGTTCTGCTTAGTTTGAAACTAGATGGCGTTGTGTGAATAAGGTTTTAAGAATTCTGTTGGTCGTTCGACAATTATAATAAAGCCCTTTTCTTCCGAATTCGCTATCGATTTGACAATAAATATTTCCGAGTTCTATTTGTTATATTATGTCTCGCAATTCGGTGCACCTCTTGGCATAGGCCTCCTCCAGCTCTCTCCACTGAGCTCTATCCTCTGCTACTCTAGTCCAATAAGGTCCCAAAGTTAGGCGGATATCGTCTTTCCATCTAGTTTTCGGACATCCCTTTCTTCTACAGTCCTCTCTTGGGTACCATAAGGTGACTTGTTTGCTCCATTTATTTATTTTGGAACGTAGCATATGTCCTGTCCAACCCCATTTTAAATGATCTATGCGAGCTGTTTTATCTGCAACTTTAGTTTTTCTTCTTATTTCAGAATTTCTAATTTTATCACTAAGTCTGAGTCCCAACATGCTCCTTTCCATTGCCCTTTGTGTACTAGTCAGATTTTCTCTTTGCCTGTCTGTTATCGCCCATGATTCATTACGTCATGTACGTTATGTCATGCACGGGAGGATGCAGGTGTTGAAGGCCTTTTTCTTTATATGCAAACCTAAGTTTTTGTTCTTCATTATTTCTTTTGGGAACCAGTATTTTTTCCATCCGCAAGCTATTCTTTTATTTATTTCTTTAGACATAGAGTCCTCCGGAGATATAATTTGACCCAGGTAAACATATGCCTTCACATATTCCAACCTGTTTCCGTAAACCTCTATGTTGACTTCCGAAGACAATTAGTTATATTTAAACACTTGAGTCTTACGCAAATTACATAAGTTCTTTCGATTAATATGACTGCTACACTTTTATGTACTTTATAAGTCTTGCAATAATGTATAGTAGAAGATAAAACAAAAACATGTTTGCTAATTTCTCATATGCACACTTATTAGCATTGTAATCTTTTCTGAGATCATTCATAAAGAGGTCCTCGGAAATCTTTTATCTTTTCAAACAAACGCCCATCTTGATGGTGTGCAATTTTTGTTGCGTGTTCATGTGCTCCCAGACGGTTTGTTTGAGTTTGTTTGTTTGACGGTGAAAACTTCCTTCCTTATAAACCAAGGTTAACGGAATCGGTTAATTCTTCATTAACTTCTGCAGGGTTTTTATGCAGTAATAGCATAGTGACGATGAAGATGAAGGTGGTATACCTATCTAAGAGAGCATAAACATAGGGTAAAGCATACCTAAGAGAACGTTATGTAGAATAGACCTTGACGATATAAATTTCAGTTTTTTTGTATACAGTGTACACCAAGTCCTGCCATTATAGTTTTTGTCTGCTCATATATATCGTCTGTTCAGCAATGCATTTAGGTAGTGAGTTGTACTCTCGTTACGTAGGTATAGAATTCCTCAAATAAATTATAACTATTAGATATTGTCCGTGTGGTGACGGATTAAGAATACGGATTGTCACCACCCCTATTCATCCCGTGGGTGTCGTGAGAGACGACTAAGGGAGCAAATTACGCATTACAACAGCACTGCAAAAAGAAGGAAAACCTGAAACAAACCCTATACCAACCCGTCTGGCCAACGTGTTATAGTAGACCAAAACCTCATTTCTAATGAGAGGCCTATGTCCAGCAGTGGACTGTTAAAGGTTGTTGATGATGATGATGATGAAATATTTTAAATTTGTGAGTTGCGACCAAGTAACCTACTTACTGTCACGGGGTTTTAAAGCGATGAAGTTATAGATAGGTCTACCCTTGAAATGTTTAGAATAACACAATATTAAATATCTTTCTATTTGTTATATAATTATGAATCGGTAGGTGTACCGTTATTTGAGTAATTTTCAAAATAATCAGCCTAAGTGGTGTTATTGCGAGTAGTGTTTGCCTCAGCATTTCCAACGATATGGTGGTATTTTGTCAGCTCTAAACTACAACTTTTAAAATTTTAAACTTTAACTTTTGTTACCTGCATAGAAAATGGCAAAACGATATCAGGGAGGTTATCCATCATTTTACAAATCGGCAGAAAGAACTTATTACTAAACTTTGCAATAGCAAACTATTTCTTGGTGTAAACTGTGAACTCTTTATCAAAAAATATCTATATCGCCAGGGATATGACGATATTATTTTTATAGCATACAAACAAAACTTGAAGATAGAATCCAAAATTATTAAATATATATTGGTGTGAAGGTGACGGATTAAGAATACAGAGTGTCACCACCCCTATTCGTCCCGTGGATGTCGTAAGAGGGAGCAAATTACGCAGGACAGCCGCACTATGAAACTTGACACAAACCCTATACAGACCCGTCAATCCAACGTGGTATAGTAAGCCAAAACCTCCTTTCTAAGGAGAGGCTTATGTCCAGCAGTGGACTGTTAAAGGCTGTTGATGTGATGTGATGATGAACAGCACTGTAAATCTTGACACAAACCCTATACAGACCCGTCAAGCCAACGTGGTATAGTAAGCCAAAAGCTCCTTTCTAAGGAGAGGCTTACGTCTCCTATTAAAGACTGTTGATGTGATGATTAAATTACATCTCAAAATAAATCTTAAAAAAAAATAGTCAAATATTTAATTAGCAATCGGTAAGTTTTTTCACAATGTGTATATTACACATTTAATAGGGTCTTATGTCGTAAATAATATTCATCCTATTAACATTTTATGAACTCACCTTCGTAAACTCTTTCTATGTCAGGAGATAGCAGAAGAACTCTTCTATCAATCGCTGCACCCTTTTCCTTGACATCTTTCTTCTGTGCTTTTATGGTATCGTAGTCCATCGGGTGTCTTGTTGTTGGTGTTTTATTGTACACTAAGTATTTTGTTAACGGGTCCATGTTGTTTATTATGTTTAAATTATTAAATTGTAATATTTTTTATTCACTTTTTCTTTAACTATGACTTAATATTTGGTTTTATCATAGTTTGATATAGACGTATTATGTAACACTTTTACATTTTAAATTTAGGTTTTAAGGCAGCTAAGTCTGGCTAGTGCTGAAGATAGAATAACTAGGGGTAGGTGAAGGAATGCTTATGTAAATTACATATGGGCATTGCTGAAGCTTATCGTGCAAAAACAGCTTATCTCTTAGTAAAGTATTTCATGTATGAGAATGTGATGTCGTGGTGTTTAGGAGTATGGTATAAAGAGAAGCAGCAATATTTATTTTTCAACATTCAACGTAGTTGTGTACTATTTAAGTTAAATAAAAAAGAAATACCGGTCAGGTACGTGTCGAACTCGTGCGCCGAGGGTTCCGTACCTACCCAGATTTTACGTAGATTTTTGCGTTTTTTTTTAAATACCAAAATTTATGCTTATTTTCAATTTTTTTATTTTTTGGAATTATTCCTTTATTTGTGCTGTAAGACGTTTCTTTTTGTCAAATTTCGTGATTCTAGGTCATCGAGAACTACCATATAGGTTATTTAACCCAAAACCTATAGGTAAATTTTGGTAAGTTGAAAATTAAGGTAAATTTTGGTACTTACAAGTTTTCGCGAAAATCGAAATTTGCCCATATCTTTTTGTCGTGTGACTCAGGATCTTGATTTTACATAGATACACCTAATAGGGATCATCGGCCTCAGTATCTGGTATAAATTTCAACTTGCTAGGTTACCCGTTCCCGAGAAAATCGGTGGTGACATACGGACAGACGGACAAGAAAGTGATCTTATAAGGGTTCCTTTTTTACCTTTTGAGGTACGGAACACTAATTAGGGTGTCATTTTTTTACACAATACGTAGTTATGTACAATACAATTAACAGTAAACGTACAATACGTAACTCTAATACAATTAACAGTAAACTTTTAGTAGGTTTATACAATACGTTAAACTTCTACGAACCCAATACTATTGCAATTTACGAAAATCCAACAAACATAAATTATAGTTTAAACAAATAACAATTTATCAATCAATGTCCATGTGACGACGAATTAATAATACGGAATGTCACCGCCCCTATTCATTCCCTGGGTGTCGTAAGAGCCGACTAAGGGAGCAAACTGCGCAGAAAAACATCACTACAAAGAGAAGAAAAGCTTGAAACAAACCCTATACCGACCCGTCTGGCCAGCACGGTATAGTAGGCCAAATCCTTTCTAAGGAGAGGTCCATTTCCAGCAGTGGACTATTAAAAGCATGTCAAATAACAATCCGACGAAACTAATATGATCAAATGACTAAATAGATTTTCTTGAAAAATAGTCAAGAATAAAATAGTAATACTATACACTGATACACAAATTAATTACATTTATAACACTACCCACATTTTAAATTAATTGAAGAGAATATTAACCCTTAAAAGAAATGATAAATGAAACATGCTACAAAATTCATTTGTATTAAAATATTAATGTAAACAAACGGAGTTATTGCGGTAGGTATTTAACTAATGATAGTTATGTTAAGGGAACACCTGGAGCGCTCGCTCATTGCGGCGAGACTTTGACCGTTAATGACTTTGTATTTTACAGTTTGTAGTTGATATTTCAAATGACACAGAGGCCCGGTGGAGTGACGATTTGCGCAAGATGGCTGGCAGGAGGTGGATGCGAGAAGCCCAAAATCGTTCTAAGTGGCGTGCAATGGGAGAAGCCTATGACCAGCAGTGGACTGCGATAGGCTGATGATGATGATTTCAAATGATAGTCTACTACAGCTACAAGTTGAGTATAAAAACCAAAAAAATAACATTATAAATTCCATTAAATATGATAAATATGAGTGCAATTATTCGTTAAAATAATATCTTCTAAGTTAAATTTAACAATATCCGTATAAAGGTTGTCTGTAAGAGATCGCCGTGAGCGATAAGACCGCTTATTGTTATACTGTAATGTAGATAATATCTGTACAAAAAATGCTGAAATGGTGTACAATAAAAAATAAAAAATCTCAAAAATAGGATTACGATTGTTTTATAAATTACTAACTGTACCCTGTCTCGCTTCATTGTGACATATAATGGTTGAATTGATGAGAATGAGGAATAAACATGAAGCAAAAAATAGATAAAAAGTTATCTTTGAAGTAGGTTGTATATCGTGTTAAAATTTGAGCTCAATCGGAGAACCCTGAGTTTTTAAAACGTACACAAACCAAGTATAAGAGCCGACTAAGGGAGCAAACTCTGCGAGACAACAACACTGCAAAGAGAAGGAAAAATTGACATAAAACATATACCAACCCGTCTGGTCAGCGTGGTATAGTAGGTCAAAACTTCCTTTCTAAGGAGAGTTCTATGTCCAGCAGTGGACTGTTAAAAGCTGTTAATGTTGATAATGAAGCGTTCGCTTTGTTTAAACATGAATCTCCCACACTAGGCACAAATAAATAAAAAGAAATGTCAAAAATTAAAAATGTTGAAATTCGTATCTGCTGGTGTCCCACAAAGCCGTGTGCTATCACCCACACTGTTTCTTCTACATATCAATGACATGTTGCAAACTAGTAGCATCCATGGCTATGCCCTTTACCCCGGCCGCCCCAATATTTCTCCTGAAAACGACACCGAGAGTCGAAACAAACTTGTGTCTGAAATTAAAACTTCCTTAGCGGAGGTTTCAGATTGGGGCCGACTAAATCTAGTCCAGTTTAACCCAAAAAAGACACAGGTTTGTGCGTTCACCGCAAAGAAGATACCATTTGTCGTACCACCTCGGTTTGAGAGCACATCTCTAAAGATGTGCTCTCAGTGAGTTAGCTGCCGTTAGCTGTAGTTAGCTGCCTCAGCCACTCGGAATCCTAGGCATCGACATATCGAGCGAAGTCCAGTTTCGGGGTCACAGAGGGTAAGGTCAAATTGGCCTCGAAGAAGCTATGTGTACTGAACAGATCGAGGTAGTATTTCACTCCAGCCCACCGCCTTCAGCTCTACAAAGCGCAAGTCCAGCCGCATATGGAATACTTTTCTCATCTCTATGCAGGGGCACCTCAGTACCAGCTTCTCCCTATGGATCGCATACATATTATAGATAAATTACACCCAGACACAGAACAAATGACCGTGCTCATCACACAATATTTGTCCTGTTTGGGAATCGAACCCACGACCGTATAGCAGTCAGGGTTACTAACCACTAGACCAACAGGCCCGTCAATTATTAAGCTAGTAAGCCGGTAAGAACCTAACAATGATTTTAAATGCGGTTGAATTTTTAGGAATCTGAATCCAATAAATGTTTACACATAACACAGCCTTAAAAGTGCAACCTACCAACCTACTTGCTTTGATTGATGCTTTAAATATTTGTAATAATCAGTTAATGTGAATCAGGAATCTAAGTATAAAAATATATATTTCAGGAATAATTTTGATTGCACGGATGGCGTAGTAGTTTAAGCAGTCACCACTCCGCTTACTACTACGCTGAGTGTTGTGGGTCCGATCCCCACATGGGCCTACACTTTGTGTGATTTACACATTGTTGTTCTGAGTTTGGGTGTTTTTTGTGTCCGTTTCATGTGTGTTTCTAAACTCCCTCACGACACAGGAATATATTTAATATTTTTGGGGAAGAGAGGCAAATATTTGAATAGTAACCTTTGCAAACGATTTAAATTTTTCATAAAATATATCAGTCTTTGTGCAGTATTTATTTAGAACTCTGTACAATCTGCGCTATTGCTGAATTCTATAGAACCGCGAAACCGCTAGTAGAAGTGGGCTACAAATTGGATGAACCACCAGTGCTATTGGTTTACGAGTTGCTTTGAAAAGCTTTGAAAGTAAAACTCTAGACTTACAAGCAAAGTAGTACTGGACTGAACAATCTACATGTGGAATAAATTCAATTGATTTTTTATTTTCTGTCATAATATTACACGTTTTTCATATTTGTTACTTACATTTAATATATGTTATGAAATTTAGTGTATATATAAGTTTTTTAAAAACAACATGATCATTTTATTTTTATATTCAGTTATTATTGTAATAATTTGTAAACGGGCGTCAAAGGGTTAAGCTGAAAACCAGCGCATGGTAATCCATGTGAAGTCCAAGCATAAGCTGACGCTTAGACCTTTTGCTTTCGGTATTATAGTTTTTCTGTATATTTCTACAAGAGTGCTGAAATGCTGAAATCAATAAACTGGTATTCTTTCTATTTCTATTAATATTCGGTATTTAATGTAATATTCGGCTTGGCTAATCTTGTAAATGTTTATAATTCGTTAACAGGAGTCTTTTAAACTTTGGAAACAATGTGACTATAAACTTTGCAAAACAACGCAGGACACCAGCACTGCAAAAAGAAGGAAAACTTGACACAAACCCTATACCAACCCGTCTGGCCAGCGTGGTATAGTAGGCCAAAACCTACTTCTAAGGAGAGGCCTATGTCCAGCAGTGGACTATTAAAGGCTGTTGATGATGATGATGATGTGACTATAAAAAATAATCTATAATTGTATCTTACATATTGACAGATGATCATTTCTACTTTGAGTTTGAAAAAAAATAAAATAACAATTTTTTTTAGTAATTAAAAGAAAAAACATTTTTTCTGAAGTTTCTTATGAAATATTTATACTCAGATTCTTACACAACTTAATATACTAATTGATTTTGTACTTTTTTGTTTGTTAATATATCAGGAACTGTAGAATATCTTAACAACTAACAAAATTTAAATTTTAAACCGTCAAAAACTGAAGTGTTTTGTACTTAAAATTATTAATGCATACACAAACCTCTTAAAATCTAGAACCTATGTACACTAGGCTAATATTCACTAGTCTAATAAACAAAAATACAAAATATAAAGTTCAAAATTGCAAAACAAGAGTGCAGCAAGCGGAGGGTTAAGCCAAAACCAA